CGCCAGTCGCCGCCGCACGCCGCCGCGCCGACCGCGAGGCCGTCGCCGTCCATGACTGCACTGCTTGCTACGTTTCTGCTCCGCGCGAGAGTCGAAGTTGACGTCAAATGCCTCTGTATGATCATGCTCCGTCGCAAAGGTCGCTTCCGAGCTCAGTTGCGGAGCGGCGCGCGCGGACTATGCGAGACAAACCCGGATCGCAAATTTCATCGTCGTCAAACCGATGATCCCGTGTTGTGTGTGTGTGGGGGAGGAAGGGAGGGGGAGGGGAGGAGCGAGGGGGGAGGCAGACTTGCCTCCTCATCTAATGCAAATTGGCATTGGGCAGCTCTTCTGCACGTTCTCTTCTCGCTCTTCTTTCTCTCATCGTTCTCTATCTCTCTCTCTCTCTCTCTCTCCTCTCTCTCTCTTCTCCACGCTCTCTCTCTCTCTCACTCTCTCTCTCTGCTCCCTCTTTCTTCTCTTCTCTCTCTCTCTTCTCTCTCTCTCTCTCTATTTCTATCTCGTCGTCTCTACTCACTCTCTCTCTTTCCGCTCTTTTCTTTTCTCTCTTTTCTCTCTCTCTCTCTCTCTCTCTCTCTCTCTCTCTCTCTCTTTCTCTCTTCTCTCTCTCACTCTCTCTCTCTCTCACACTCTCTCTCGCTTTACTTTCTAATCTCTCTCTCTCTCATCTCGTCTCTTTCTCTCTCTCTCTCACTATCTCTCTTCGCTCTTTTCTTCTCAGGTACATCCCCTGTTCCTCTACCCTGTCGGGCGTGGCTTCCTCCCTTTCTTCTTGCGGGTAAGCTTCCCTTCTTCTGCGACACCTGCCGCCATGAGATCTCGCGTGCAATGGGGGGTTCCAAATCGTTGAGCACGAGTGCCGCACGCTAGTATATCCCAAGCTAAGTCAGCAGCTAGCACGCATAGCGTCGCGTTAGTTCGTGATGCAAACTCACGACAGATGGCGCTCTCGCTCTTGGGCCTTCATCTACACTGCTACAATTCGTGTAACGCTTTTTTACTACAAGTTGTTACAGCGCCCACGTTATCGTATCCTATGTAATAAGCATTTGGACTATAAGAAGTTGCCAAGGATATTAAAAATCGACCGTGTATTCCATTGAAAAAATTTGATAATACGTGATACAAACATATGTAGCGGATTGTGCGCCATTACCTCTTTCAAATCTACGCTGTTTACGAGGGATCTCCAGTCGCTTGATTTCCCCACGAGATCCGTTCCACTCTTAGAAAATAGTGCTAAGCCATTGTGCAGTGGTATCCTGGAGTGAGCGAAGGGGGGCCTGCATGGTTTGGATGATGCATTGCACACACGGCCAGGCCAGATAGATGCATGCACGACACACACCAGGCCGCAGTGCATGCACACACACCACGGCCAGCCAGCACGCCTGCATAGCACGCACACACACGGCCAGCACGGCGTGCACACAAACACAACGGCCGCCAGCACACATGCATTGCACTGCAACACACGGCCGGCAGCACGGTGCACACACACACACGGCAGCCAGACACATGCATGCACGCCTACACACACCGCGCCAGCACGCGTGACACACACACACAGGCCAGCAGCAACATGCATGCACGACACACACGCAGACGCGTGCCACACACACAGTCCACGGCAGCAGAACACATGCATGCACGCACAACACGCCAGCACGCCGTGCAAACACACGGGCCAGCCAGCACGCGTGCATACACACACACACCGGCGCAGCACGCGTGGCACACCACACACGGCAGCCACACGCGTGCCATCGCACACAACACACACCCGGCCAGCACGCGTGACAAAAACACCACCGGGCGACAGCCACGCCTGGTGCCAACAACACGTTAGCAGCCAGCACGCGGTGCATGCCCACCACACACACCGCGCCAGCAGCGTGCACACACACGACGGACAGCCAGCTACGCGTGCATGCACGCACACGCACCACGGCGAGCACGCGTGCATGCACACACGACAGCCGCACGGTGACGCACACCACAGCCAGCACGCGTGCAAGCACCCAACCACGGCCAGGCACGCGTGATGCACACCGCCAGCACGCAGTGCACGCACACCACACCGCGCAGCACGCGTGCAAGCACACACGGCCAGAACGCGTGCACGCACACAACCGGCAGGCAGACGTGATGCACACACAACACACACAACGCAAGTGCCAAACACACACGCGCCGACACAGTGACATGCACGCACACAACCACAACGCGTGCATGCACCACACGCACACCGGCCGGCACGGCGTGCATGCACCACACACAACCAGCACTGCGCTGCCGCAAACCGGCCAGCCAGCGTGACATGCACGCACACGGCCCAGGCACGAGGTGCACGCGTGGCTGCACACACACTCGGCCGCAGCGTGCACCGCACCACGGCAGCACGCGTGCATGCACACCACCACAGCCGGTCACGGCGTGCACGCACCACAGCAAGGCAGCTAACGCCGTGTCAGCACACACACGACGGCCAGCGACGCGTGTCATGCACACACGCCCAGCACGCGTGCACGCAACACAACACGGCCAGCACGCGTCACGCACACACACGGCCAGCACGCGGCACGCACACACACAGCCAGGCACGCGTGCTCAGCACACACGCCACACGGCCAGCACTTGTGCACGCACACACACAGCACGCACGCGTGCCACGCACAACACGGCCAGCGAAGGCGTGCACGGCACACCACAGACGGCGCAGCACGCGTGCACGCCAACACACGGTAGCTCACGCGTGCACGCGCAACACACGCCGGCCAGCACGGCGTCACGGCACAACACGGCCAGCACGCGTGCCATTGCACACCACGGGCCAGCACGAGTGCATGCACACACACGGACAGCCACCGCGATGCCGCAACACAATACGGCCAGCACGCCGATGCACGCAACACCACGCGCCAAGCACAGCGTGCCACGCACACACACGGCCAGCACGCGTGCATGCCACCACACAGGCCAGCACGGTGCACGCACAACGCCCACACGGGTGCATAGCACCGCACACACACGGCAGACGCGTGCATGGCCACCAACGGCCAGAGCGTGCATGCACACACACGGCGCGCACTGACGCTGCTCACACACACACGGCCAGGCGACCGCGGTGATGCACACACAAAGGCCAGCACGCGTGCATAGCAACACACGGCAGCACGCGTGCATGCACACACACGCGGCCAGCGCGCGTGCATTGCACTACACACGGCAGCACGCGTGCACCCACACACACGCCGAGCCGCGTGCATTGCACGACACACACTGGCCAGCACGCCGCTGGCCACACAAACACGGCCAGCCAGCACGCCGTGCATGCCCACACGCGCCGAGCGACAGCACGCTCGTGCACGCACGACAAACGGCAGCACAGACGTGCATGCGACACACCGGCCAGGCACGCAGTGCACGCACACACACAGCCAGCCGCGTGAACGCACCAGCCCCACGGCCACGCACGTGTCCTGTGCACGCAACACACAGCCAAGCACGCGTGCACGCACACCAACGGGCACAGCACGGTGCACGTCACCACAGCACGCAACAGCACACGACCCAGCACGCGTCATGTTACACACCGGACCAGACGCGATTGGCCACGCTACACACACAGCAGCAAGCACCATGACCATTCTTCCCACGGATAGAGGACCGAGTGACATGAATCGGCCCCTGCCGGTGATAGGCGGCAGACGCTTATGATGAGAGAGATGTTGAGTCAGCGTGCGTGCATCGTCGTAAACACTGCATCCCCGCGGCAGCAGGGAGCCATCATCGTCACGATGACGCAGCAATAACGAGCACAACACTATTATATACATATTATAGTAATTATATATATATATATATATGTAATATCAGTGCTTTGTGCAGCTTCGCCGCGGCAGCGTTTCCGCGCACACCGGTAAGCGATAGTCGAGGTGATCGTTGCAACGCGATGTGGCTTCTTTTCATTAAGCACACAAACCTGCGCCGCATCATCCCTCTCTGTCGCAGCTTCCGACGGATAACCTAGTGACGACACGCATGTGTGAGTCATCAAACAACTCCTCGTGCCACAGTCACAGAACTTCCCATCTCTTCTCTATCCCACAAAAACGATCCGCGGAAAGATCTAAGAAACTTTTTAAAGACTCACTAAAAGACCCATAAAGAATTCCGGAATGATAAAAAAATAAAGGAATGAAGGAACTAAGAAACATCCTAGATTCCCTACCGCCCTCACTTTCCTCCATGAAGGTCACCTTGATTCTATCTGTCCTCCCTTCTCCCTCCTCCCTGTTCAATCCTTCCTCCACCCTCCTCCCTTTTCCCTCCACCCTCTGCCCTTGTCCCTCCACCCTCCTCCCTTTTCCCTCCACCCTCCGCCCTTGTCCCTCCACACTTCTCCCTCCTCTCTCCTTCCTATCCCTCCTTCCTCCCTCTACCCGCCTCCCGGCTCCTCCCTTGTCCCGGCTCCTCCCTCCCTACTCCTTCCTCTTTCTCTTACCTCGTCCAGATTCGTCTTGTCGACGTGTACGGTGAGATTGAAGAGCACCTTCAGGATCTCGCAGGCGAGGTCAACCTCGTTCCCAGTGAGCGGCACGTCCGTGTCCTCGACGCGGTTGTCTCGGCTCTCGTGGTTCTTGCTTGTCTTGATGATCAGGTCGAGGGCCTCCATCAGGTAGGTGAGGCCATGCAGCTCCTGTCTGAGCCGTGGCCTGCGGGGCGACAGAGAGAGAGAGAGAGACGGCGTGCGATTAGTCGTTTTCTAAGAGCGGGGGGTACAGGCGACGATGATGCCAGGAAGCAGAATCGGTGCATCAGGGAGTTTCGCGAGTTTCGGGAATAGAGTGAGCCTGGGAATAGGGAATGCTGAGTCTAGGAATGGGGATCAGTGAACCTGGGAACGGGCATCTGTGAGCCTGGAAGCTGGGATGGGAGTGTGCGTGTGGGGGGAAGAGTAAACAGCATTGCAGCATTTATGAGGGAAGGGGGTCCGATGCCACACTTTACAATGCAGGATCGGTCGATGAATTAGTAACGGCAAGCAAGCACTAATGCTGCTGAGGGAAGGAAGGAGAGCGGCTAGGGGTGGGATGACTGAAGCATGAGATGGCAGATCAACGTAATGATGAAGACGTGAATGTAACCAGAGGAGCGACTAGCCGGGCTAAGCAAAGAGGATTGGCCGAGCTAAGCTAAGAGAATTGGCCGAGCTAAGCTAAGAGAATTGGCCGGGATAGGCAAAGAGATTGGCCGGGATAGGCAAAGAGATTGGCCGGGCTAAGCAAATAAAGAGATTTCTCAGTCTATGCTAATGAATCAGCCTATGCCTGGTACGATGACAGCGTCTGAACGAGGAGTTAAAAAAAGTTAATGAGTTAATGAAGGAAAGGACGCAAATTTCACGTCACATCGATTTGTTTCGCTGGCAGGTCGGTGTCCACTCCCCACACTGGGGCACATATGTTTCCAGCGTAGGAGACCGGCGGGAAGGAGGGGGCATATCGGAACAAACACAGCGTAGGAGACCGGCGGGAAGGAGGGGGCATATCGGAACAAACACAGCGTAGGAGACCGGCGGGAAGGAGGGGG